CAGGGTGTATCTGTTGACGACTAATTCCAGACTCGATTCCTGTATCCTGCCAGGGCACGTCTGAAGAGTTTGAAGATCCGATTCCTGTATCTTGCCAGGGTGTATCTGTTGACGACTAATTCCAGACTCGATTCCTGTATCCTGCCAGGGCACGTCTGAAGAGTTTGAAGATCTGATTCCTGTATCTTGCCAGGGTGTATCTGTTGACGACTAATTCCAGACTCGATTCTTGTATCTTGCCAGGGCACGTCTGAAGAGTTTGAAGATCCGATTCCTGTATCTTTCCAGGGTGTATCTGTTGACGACTAATTCCAGACTCGATTCCTGTATCCTGCCAGGGCACGTCTGAAGAGTTTGAAGATCTGATTCCTATATCTTGCCAGGGTGTATCTGTTGACGACTATTTTCCGGACTCGATTCCTGTATCTTGCCAGGGCACGTCCAAAGAGTTTGAAGATCCGATTCCTGTATCTTGCCAGGGTGTATCTGTTGACGACTATTTTCCGGACTCGATTCCTGTATCCTGCCAGGGCACGTCTAAAGAGTTTGAAGATCCGATTCCTGTATCCTGCCAGGGTGTATCTGTTGACGACTAATTCCAGACTCGATTCCTGTATCCTGCTAGGGCACGTCTGAAGAGTTTGAAGATTTGATTCCTGTATCTTGCCAGGGTGTATCTGTTGACGACTAATTCCAGACTCGATTCCTGTATCCTGCCAGGGCACGTCTGAAGAGTTTGAAGATCCGATTCCTGTATCTTGCTAGGGTGTATCTGTTGACGACTAATTCCAGACTCGATTCCTGTATCCTGCCAGGGCACGTCTGAAGAGTTTGAAGATCCGATTCCTGTATCTCGCCAGGGTGTATCTGTTGACGACTAATTCCAGACTCGATTCCTGTATCCTGCCAGGGCACGTCTGAAGAGTTTGAAGATCCGATTCCTGTATCCTGCCAGGGTGTATCTGTTGACGACTAATTCCAGACTCGATTCCTGTATCCTTCCAGGGCACGTCTGAAGAGTTTGAAGATACGATTCATGTATCTTGCCAGGGTGTATCTGTTGACGACTAATTCCAGACTCGATTCCTGTATCCTGCCAGGGCACGTCTGAAGAGTTTGAAGATCCGATTCCTGTATCTTGCCAGGGTGTATCTGTTAACGACTAATTCCAGACTCGACTCCTGTATCCTGCCAGGGCACGTCTGAAGAGTTCGAAGATCCGATTCCTGTATCTTGCCAGGGTGTATCTGTTGACGACTAATTCCAGACTCGATTCCTGTATCTTGCAGTTTATATGTTGAACAACTGCCCTACCAAGATATTGAAGAACAAGGTCCCTGAAGAAGTATGAAATGGAAAATGACCATCAGTGAGTCATTTGAATATGTTTGGCTCTATGTGTTACAAGCATGTTCCTGATGCGAGAAGAAGAAAGCTTGATGACAAGAGTGAACCTATGATTCTGCTAGGATATCATAAAACGGGTGCATACAGGCTATTCAATCCAGTTAATGATAAGATTGTTTTAAGTCGAGATATTGTGATTGATGAAAATTCTAAATGGGATTAGAATTCTAGTAATTCAATTAACAAGCCCTTGATGAGCTCTGATTTTGATGAAGAAATTGAAAATATTCAAGTCGAAGTCGAAGCAAATGTTGACATTCTAGAGTTAGTCGAAGTCGAAGAGGTTGTGGCTGAAGCAAGTCAAAGACCTCAAAGAAATATAGTTCTTCCAACAAGACTTCATGATTATGAAATGGTGGGTGATGATGAAGTCACCCCAGATGGAGAATTAGTTCATTTTGCTTTACTTATAGGTGCTAAACCAATCAACCATAACAAAGCTTTAAAGATTAAACAGTGGAAGTTAGCTATGGCCGAAGAGTTACAGACAATCAAAATAAATAATACATGGGAGTTAGTCAAATTGCCAGCATATACAAAAGCTATTGAAGTGAAGTGTGTGTTCAAGTTGAAACACAATGCTGACGGGTCGATATCAAGACATAAAGAAAGATTAGTAGCTTGAGGGTTTCTTCAAAGAGAAGGACTTGACTACTCTGAAGTATTTTTTCCAGTAGCAAGATTGGAGAGTGTTCGACTAGTAGTAACATTGGCGTCAACCAAGACTGGTCGACATTTCATTTAGATGTTAAATCAGCATTTTTGAATGGTTTTTTAGATGAAGAGATCTATGTCACAAAACCTCAAGGGTTTGTGATTCAGAAGGAAGCAAGTAAAGTATATAAGTTATACAAAGCGCTTTATAGCCTAAAGCAGACACCTAGGGCATGGAACAAGAAGATCCACTCATACTTAGTCGAATTGGGATTTGTAAAATGCAAGTCTAAATATCGTGTCTATGTTCAGGTTGTATCACAAGATATAATAATCATCTGCTTGTATGTCGATGACTTGCTGGTAACTGGAAATAGCTTGGAGAACTTGTCGAAGTTCAAAGAGCTAATGATGAAGGAACTTGAAATTCTATTTCTAGGAAATAGCAAGATATAAAGCAAGATTAATAGCTTGAGGGTTTCTTCAAAGAGAAGGATTTGACTACTCTAAAGTATTTGCTTCAGTAGTAAGATTGGAGACTAATCGACTAGTATTAGCATTGGCATACAACCAAGGCTAGTCGACATTTCATTTAGATGTGAAATCATCATTTTTGAATGGTCTTTTAGATGAAGAGGTCTATGTCACACAACCTCCAGGGTTTGTGATTCAGAAGGAAACAAGTAAAGTATATAAGTTACACAAAGTGCTTTATGGCCTCAAGCAGACACCTAGGACATGGAACAGAAGATCGACACATACTTAGTCGAATTGGGATTTGTAAAATGCAAGTCTAAATATGGTGTCTATGTTCAGGTTGTAGCATAAGATATAACAATCATCTGATAACTTGCTGGTAACTGGAAATAGCTTGAAGAACTTGTCGAAGTTCAAAGAGCTGGTGATGAAGGAATTTGAAATGTCGGATCTGGGAAAATTGTCTTATTTCATAGGCATGGAATTTCAAATGTCGAAGCAAGGTATGGTGCTACATCAAAGGAAGTATGTCAAAGAAATACTCAAGAGATTCAAAATAGATGATTCAAATCCTGCATCCTCACCCGTCGAACCAAATATGAAATTGGAGAATAATGGAGAGGAAGACAAAGTCGATGTAACTTTGTTCAAGCAAATTGCAGGATCTCTGAGGTATGTCTGCAACAGTCGACCTAATATAGGTTTCACTGTGGGATTAGTGAGCAGATTCATGGGTGAACCAAGAGTGTCACATATGAAGGCTGCAAGAAGAATCCTGAGATATTTGAAGGATTCGATGAACTGTGTAATACTATTTCGAAGAGATTCTGAAGACAAAGAAGCAATAGTTAATTGCTTTTCAGATGCTGATTGGTGTGGAGATAAGGAAGATCGAAGAAGTACAACTGGATATTTATTTCAAGTATTTGATACCCCAATCTCATGGTGTTCGAAGAAGCAACCTATGGTGGCATTGTCATCGTGCGAAGCTGGATATATAGCAGGATCCTATGTTGCATGTCAAGCAATTTGGATCAGATCAGTACTTGAAGAAATGTAGGTCGAAGTGAAGAAACTTCTAGTGTTGTAAATCGACAACAAGTCAACCATAAATCTGGCGAAGAATCCAGTTCTGCATGGAAGAAGTAAACATATCGAAGCTAGATTTCACTTTTTGAGGGAAAAGGTAAATTGAGGTGAAGTTGAAGTTAGACAATGTTCTAGTGAAGCACAGTTGACCGATATTTTTACCAAAGGATGTAAGATCGACATATTCTTGAATTTGAGAAAGAAATTAGGAATGGTTCTGATCGACTATGACTAGCGTAGGTTCGACAATTTGGATTATGAGACTGTGTTGAAATATTAAAATAGATTTGTTAGATTAGATTATATTAGATTTGATTAGATTTAATATTTAAATATAATTCAAGTTGTGTTAGCTCAAACCCAATTAGAGTGGTATATAAATAGTCATAATGTGTATCTTTATTTTCTATAACTCAGTCAAGTAAATAATATAATATTTATTTCCTTTATTATTCTCGCTTTCTCTCTTCATTAAAAGTGTCTCACGCGCTAACAACACTAATGTAACTTGTTAATTTTCTATTAAAAAAATTCTTAATTAATTTGGATTTGAAATTATGCATTTGATTTGTTATACAAATTGTTAAGTGTTTTGAATTTGAAATTATGTGTTTGATTTGTTTCGATTTTGATATAATGTGTTTGATTTGTTATAAAAATAATAATTTAATTTATTTGTACATGAATCGATAAATTAAAATTAATTTTATTATTTGATTTATCATAGATAACTAATAAAGACATACGAACTAAGTATACGAAATTAGTTCAAATAATGATTGTTCAATTATCTATCATCACTGTTTTAATATGTTTGCTAAAAAAATAAGCGTAAAAGATCGTATTTATAGAATCACAGAGAGAAAACTAGAAATGAGTTGATGAAATATATTGTAGGAAGTGAAAAATGCTATGATATCATTGGTATGAGCCCCAAAGTTTTCTTAAACTTGTGCATCTTATTACAAGAACAAGGTGGACTAACACATACACAAAACAAGAGAAGTTACCTCTCTCTACCTTACTTCTCTCTCGGCTACTCTCTCTATTATATTTCATCTATACCAATCACAGTGTAAGTTACTCTCTTCCGATATGATGCGCCCAAGCCGCAACCCATTCTCCTACTTGTTTTTTCTTGTAAAAAAGACGCACGGTACTTGGCACTTTTGTATTGATTTCAGAGTCTTGAATACCATTACCATTAAATCAACTTGATATCTCTCTCCAAAACCAACCATGTAATCAACTTGTTTTTTGGCCAAGTTTATGTATGAGGTGTTTTTCTGTGACTTTTGATGTTCCACACGAGATAACACCTCCGTTTGAGCTGAGATACTTTGCGTATATTAAGATAAGAAAGGTTGTAGATGTCACATACTGCAAATTGCTATCGCACTCCCTTTATACAAAACTCCCCCTGCAAACAATAGTTTTTAGATTAATCCGTATAAAACTTGATTCATGTTGTAAGGTTTCATTTTTAGATTGCTAACCTGGGGTGTATTGAGCCTGAAAACCAGGAGTTCCTGGTACTAGAGAGCAAATGAAATTGTGTGCATGATCCTTATATAACTGGAACTCTTCAGAATTTTTCTCCATTAATTCCTGTCACAATTCCTATAGGTTAATGTGATTTATGTGGGGCAGATACATAATATTAAGTCAAATTACGTGTACTAGTATCATTCCCATAGGTTAATGTGATTTATGTGTGGCAGATACATAATATTAAGTCAAATTACGTGTACTAGATAGATACTAGTACGTCACCATTTTAGAAGTACTTATGCTTCAGAGTGAAAGGGATGAGAAAAAAGGTGCTTACATTTGAAAGTAAGATTTTAGTTCCAGGTTGTTTGTCATCCCAACTAAAGGTGTAACCATCATCAGCAGCACCTAATATGTATTCATTGGATTGTATGAATTCCATGTAGGAACTTATTCCAGAAGCTTTATAAATCCATGATGCACCCCAAAGTAACTCATCCTATTTAATCATTTTATTTAAACAATAACAACATCAACATGTTGGGACTAATTTCATAACAGATGCATGGTGGAATTAAGATTTTATGTATTAATAGCCTCACATTGTGTCCAGAATAAGAACAGTAAAATGGACAAATTACAGAATTAAGAGCCTCTATAACGGTCTGCAAAATTGAATACCTGCAGAAATAACATTAATTGATTAACAAGAGCATGAAAATTGAAAAAACAAACAACTTAAAGACGAAAATAAGGCTGAATTGTGTTTAAGACGAGGAACGGACATTGATGGCTGCTATAAGCAATTTGGAGGAATAGGCTGGATCTGAATCTTTGAATACTAATGAAGAAGCTGCCAGTGTAGCTGCTGTCTCTGCCGCGACATCAGACCCGGGGTTTTGAGGTGATACCTTATACACGTTCCGTGGTGTGTCCATATCCTCGGGCCTTTCCCAACACCCATGTTCCATGCTAGGCTCCCCAACCTGCATAAATCCATGTGTAATCAGTCGCGCAGCCAAAACATGCTTAGAGTGCGCCAGTCATTCACCTGAACATATAATGTGTCTGGCGTTGTCAATCTGATCATGCATTGAGCTACCAAATTCAATGACACTCCATGCTAATAATGTTGTTGTAAATGCCATTGGAAGCCCAAACTTCACATTGTCCTAACCTGAGACGTCACAAGTACGAGTGTTATCATATACACTAGTTGTAGAAGTTGTTGTGAAGACAATCTTCCATCTTATATTTTGATGATAACAAATGATTGATTATGAAGAGCATGAAGCACTTAATGGAACCAATATCAAAAAGATGCAAAGTTTTTTATTGGATGAAAGAATCAAGATCAATGGTGTTTTATGGAATTAAGGTACTATATGTGATCCGTTATCCATAGAGTGAGTGCTCAAAACATTCCTACTTCAAAATCTCATGCATTATCATTTTTCATGTTTTTCAAAATTAATTTAGAAAATTTTCAATTTTTAAGGCACGACAATCGGTTGGCCCTCTTGTGCAATCGATTGTATCAAAACTGATTTGTATTCTGTCAAAGTGAAAAAAGACTTTTTAGACATGACAATTGGTTGTCATTTTGGTCCAATCGATTTTCATAAGATAATTTTTTGAAATTTTTTGAACGTTAGAAACATGACAATTGATTGTCATGTTTATATAATCAATTGTCACTGCAATTTTTATTTTTTTTTGGAAAAATGTTGTGATCTTTACACTTTTCATAATACTTCTTCATTGCATCTTTTCCAAATTAGTGCAATACATTTTCAGATTATTTTCTTAGTTGTTGCATTGATTTTTCAAAAGGTTTTCTTCATCTATAAAATGGAGAAAATTTTCAATTCAGATTACCTCTTCCAAAAAAATTGTTCTATCTATTTCTATCCATCTTTCACAAACTTTATCAAGAACATTTTGCATAACATTTTCATATCTTATTAGATTTTTGTTCTTGAGCACTTAGATTGAATAAATAATCTATTATATTTGGAAGGTAAGATCACGATAATTGATACATCACTTAAGAATATAAAAGTGATTATTGTTCTACACAAATTATTCATCTCTTGTTATTGTAAAGATCCTAAGTGTGGGGGTGTGTTTGATACTAGGTGTGTTGCATAAGAAAGTGGTGTGTACTTTCTTTGTGGTTTATGTTTCTAAAAGATTATAACACTGCAATAAATAATGTATTTTGTGACAGAATTTTCATGTTATCTAGAAAAACAACGGAGTATTAATTATAGGCGCGCGATGTTTTATATTTTTTTAATTATAAAAATAATAATTTACCTCGGTTACTAATATATCTGACAGGTAAAAATAATATGAACGTGCTTCAAGTTCAAATTTTTGCATTTTATGTTTTATTTTGATTATAATGGTAAACTAAAACAACTAATCCTTCGTTTTTTCGATATAACCGAAGGATCAACTAAACAGATTTCACTATAAAAGCAAAAAGATTTTACCCTAATCCTTACTTATTTGTAGCCGCCCCAAACTCGCAAGCATCATTATATGGGATGGATTGCAAGACAGAAAAACCTTCAATGTTCTTATAGAACAAATGTTTTTTCTGCCTTGCAATCTATCTCACATAATGGTGTTGATTTTGTTGTTGGTGTTTTTTATTTTTGCTCATTAGATAGATTGCAAGTGCAGAAAAATCATTTTTGATTCAAGGAGACAATGAAGGAAGCTCTCTTCTCTTTTTAAAAGTTATACAATGAATGAATCTTAACTAATCAGATGATGGATATTAGTAAAGATATTCATTTAAAAGAGTATAGATTTGTTTTAAATCATTTATTTTAATATTTTGTGTAAACAATGTAAATTCCAACAAAAAAAAACTTTTCACCTTGTTTTTTACAAAAAACGAGGTGATAGCTATAATTAGAAGATTTAATACCTAGGTTTTATGCTAATGCTGAAGGGTAAAGTTATCAGATTTTACTATAAATATCTTTGTTAAATAGATTTTATCCTAAGTCTAGCTATAATCACTGTCCATTATCATGAAAACTTTTGATCTAGAATCGCTTAAGAACAGATCTCTGAGATGGATTGTAAGTGCAGAAAATAAAATAACTTATCCGAAGTTGGATAAGTTATGGAGTGATTTTTGGATATGCAACATACATGTATGCAACAAAATTTGGATTTCACTAAAGATCTGTTGTTGAAAACACTTTCTCCTTTGAATTTGTCTACTTGCCGATAGATTTCAGGTACACTACCAAATTCATTCTCTAGAACATTCAGTGTTCATATCCTTCTCTAAAAATAATGATGATTGATGATTGTGTGTTGTTTACTATTAATTTGCAGAACTGGGCCGAATTAAGGATATGCTTTTGTTAATTTCACAAAGCCTAAATCAGAAGTGGGAATTTGTTGTAATATTCTTTGTAAACAATTTGACTTTTAAAAAAATATTTTTCACCTCGGTGTTCCTAAAATCCTAGAGGACATTTTAGGGTTAAAGTTGAGGACATTTGTCACCATCCATAATCAAATCTTTGTCGTCCATTTCATGACTATCAACACTCAAGACACTACCATTAGTGATCCGCATGAAACCTAGGTTAACTTCCATTATAAAAACATTATGAATATAAAAAATTGATAATGAAATATCATGAAGCGCTTGAAACTATCCTCCACTTTAAGATATGCAAGAGTCTTTGTTAGACGATGAGATCGATCTAGAATGAGGGTTAAATAGATCGTTTAAAATAATTTGCGCTTTTTAAAATTGTTTTCAGACAAATATGCGAAAGCTTCCTAGAATCTCCAATCGTCTAAACGATCCTCTATTGAAAATATCGGATATGCGTAACCGTATGGGATATAATGACAAAATTAGAATCAATACATTTTACTCAACTGATCAATCACTTATACACCCTCAATGATTATTAATTACTTCCAATGAGTTGAATGAGATAAGGATAAACACAATGAATAATTTGTGTATTAGTCAATTTTTCAAACACCTTGTGAGCAAAGCACCTTAGGTTTGACTTTACTAAATTATAGTGGTAAGTTTTCTTAGGTATCAATCAAAAGGATTGTTACCAATGTTTTGAAATAAACTCAACACACTACAATTTCAATAAATGCAGATTTGACAAATTAATTTTCGCACAGGATAGTAATCAAGTATAGAGATAAAGAAAAAGCAGAAGAACACATGATTTGTTAAGGTAGTTCCCCTTGTCGTCCTCGCGTAGGGTACGTCTATCCCAATTCTAGAATCTACAATTGAGATATTTGATATTAAGCTGCAAATGATACAAGAGAAGAGACAATTCACAATACAAACAAACCAATGTTGCTGATGTACCAGTCTTCTTCCTTTTCCTTGGTTTGAGCAAAACTAAGTGCCAAATTCTTCAACCAGACCTCCGGTTACCGCTACTTGATTAAATAAACTCTTTGTTTCTTAATCCTTTCACTCGGATGATTTCAATCGCAAGAAATTTGACCCCAAATCAATCTTCACAATCCTCCGGTTACCGCTACTTGATTAAGCAAACCCACGTTTCTTAATCTTTTCACTCGGCTGAATTCAATGAAGCAAAGACTTGTGCAAAAACCCTCGCACCAATAGGAATCTTGGAGGAGAAAATCCAAATGATTTTATTCAAGAACAACCCACAATTTCTCAACCCAAATCTGAATTGAATCCTTGATTTAAACGTTATCACCACAACAATTTTCTTGAATCAGCAACCATGATTATGTGTAGATGTTGATTTTTGAGAAGAAAGGATGGAGATGATGAGCATTATGTGTATCTTTCACTAGTTCTTGTTAACTTCAAATAATGATGCATAATGAATATATATATATATATATATATATATATATATATATATATATATATATATATATATATATATATATATATATATATATATATATATATATATATATTACCTAATAGCCAAGACCCACAAACATAGTAGAAAATCAGATGAGGCCAGCGAGCGGTCAACTCAACCAGGAGTAGGGGTCGGCGCGACACAACTCGCACCCAGAGAGAAAACTGTTTTGAAGTGCAATGCATTGACCACTTCAGGACTTGCGTCGATGCAAACTTTGAATATTCTGATTCTCAGGTTGAGTCAACCGGAAGGGTCAACATGATACATCCAGCTGTCAGAGAGAATTCCATTTTGAAGTGCAGTGCGTCGACCGCTTCAGGACTTGCGTTGATGCAAACTTTTAATGTTTTGATTTCCAGTTTGAGTCGACCCAAAGGGTCGACCTAACACATCCATGGCTTGATTAAAGATGATGAGTCGACCGCACATATCTTTGAGTCGACGCACAAATTAAATTTTCTCAAAAGTAAGTGTTTCTGGAGATCTTCATTCCAATCATTCCATTGCAAGATTGTTCATAGGACCAACCCAAATAGAGAGAGATTAATAATCGTTTTGACATCATTAAAACACTTACAGATGGACTTTGCCCTCACATACTCCCCCTTTTTGATGATGGCAAAACATTTCTCAAATATGCTCCCCCTGAATTTGTGTATTCCGCTTGCAAGCTATATATAGTCTTCTATGTTCACTTATCCCCCTTTGACAACATCAAAAAGAGAAAAAGCACAAGGTCCAGAGTAACAAAATATATCAAATGCAACATCATTTTCCATTTGCAACTAAAACACCAACAATCATTCACATAAAATGAAATTAGTGTGGATCATAAAATGCAATAGTTAGACAAATGTATGTAGAATATTACAAACCAGTTAATAAGGATAAACGCACGAGGTTATCAAAAGAAGGGTAAAATAAGAACTTAAACATAATTACATATATATATAAACATGAATCAATTCTCTAGGTTGTTGGTATCATTGTTTTCTGGAGCATCAGGTGGAAGGTTTGGAAAATGCTGAAGGAAGGTGGAAGGAAGGGAG